AATATGCTGGCAGATTTACTATGAAAACTGCTTCAGTATCTGCTCACATAGTCCTTGGCTCTAGCTATTACTTCCAGTTGCTCCACTCTGTAAGCATCAAGGTTTTGGGGAACACTTGCCTGGAAGTGAGGCTGAGAAGTAAGGAATGGGGGTACAGTGGGCCATATAAGAAGCACATTTGTTTTAAATAAGAGAAAGAAAAGTACAAATAGCATATATGATAGTGTATATGCTCATGTTTTCTCTTGTAATGAGAAGGAAAAAAACCCTCAAATCAGCTGTACTTGAGTTTCTATTGGATAGCTTTGTAGCATTAAAAACACCCAAACCTAGCAAAATGTGCCCATAGAAAATTACTAAAGGGAAAATTCAACATTCCTGAAGAAAGGAAAATCTGTTTGGGATTGCCTATTGTAAAAACATGCATCACTGAGTTTCCTTTGAACAGACAAACAGGTAATACCTCAGAGCAAATAAAAAAATGGTGTCATCCGTGGCCTTAAAGATGCCCCCAAAACGCCAGATAGCCCATGCAAGTATTCCACATGCCTTAGAGGTACTCCTGGCTGGTGGGCAGTCATCTCTTTTTGTAACAGTGGCTGTATCAATCCAAATGGTTGGTGAAAAGGCTACTTGAGCAGGCTTCGTTACAGCTGAGCATCATGTCTGTGAGGTCTTGCAATCATCAAGCCCCACTTAAGCCTGCTTTGGAAGTTTTAAGTGGACTAGAATGATGCAAATGCCTTGAACTACCCCCCACAAAAGTTCAAATTCCTCAGCCCAGGAGGATTCGTCTCTGTTTTGGACAGGGGTGGAAAGAGGCAGAGGGCAAGTGTGGATTTAGCAGACTGAAGTATTACATGTTGATCACTGGAGGATGTTTCCACCAAAGCACTTTTTTTCCTCAATGTAACTCATCTTTCTATCTCCACCACTCCCTGGAGAGACTTATGACAAATGTGTGTGCTGCCTCTCCTTGTCTTGTTTTGCAAAAAAGCAGGAAGATAAAATTATTTATGATAGAATTTCACACATTCTTCTGGGTGCTTAATGAAGCTTGAACTTGAGTGGAGCAGAGAGACTGCTTATTGTTGATTTTTTTTTCGAGATCACTGCACAACAAACAGAAACTGAATAAGCAATTAAGTTAACTGGCTTTAAAACTCATACTGGCCGAGGATTAAGGCAATTATGTCTGATCTTACACACATTCGTTGCAGCTTTATTTCAGTGCAGCAAGCCTTGCTTGTTTGCTTGTTGCTGATGTCATTCTAAAACTGATCAGAGTTGTTGTCTTGTTAATTACCACAGAGGTTACAGACACAAGCTCTCCTTGCTGTAAATATAGCTGTGTTATTTTCATTATATATGTTCAGAGGTGATGCAGGCCTCTTTTGCTAGGTGTATACAAACAGATCCAACCATTTCTTCCTGCATCAAAGAATTTACAATACCTTAGGTTTAAGGGATCTGTGAAAATAATACACAACAGATGGGTTTGGTATTGTCATATAGTGATTTCACTGTGAAAGGCGAAAACTATTTCTAAGTCTGTGTGCAAAAAGAGACTCTGGGAAAACCTCCACAATGTTACTGGCAAGGCAGTGTAGATTCTTCACCTTTTGGGTTACAAAGAAGTTTCCTTTTAAATGGCTGGAATGCAGGGGAGGGGAAAGGAAGGGAAACCCCCACATTCTCCTTGTCTAACAAGGAGCCCCAGCGTGAGAACCACTCCCTAGCAGAAGTAATCTGTGATTGACAATGGTTTTCTTTGCAGTCAGGGCTAAAAATGGTTTAGCTGTAAACAGACAAATGCAGAACATGTTAAGGCCCTTTGCAAACGTCAGGGCTGCTTACACAAGCATTCTATATGCAGGGTGGCACCAAGTGAGCAGCAAGCTCCAGAGTTCCTGAAAAATCAGTGAATTCTCATATCAGGGTATGAGCACAAACCCAGGAGAAAAAAGATAGCTTGTAATGGGCAAATTCATAGAGGGCAGTCACAAAAACTGGAGGTTAATTCTCCAGGCAGTCCAGGCATTCTTATGTGTGGTCTTAGGCAAGCTGCTATATTTGGTTTCACCCTTCCTGCCTAAAAACCGAGAGAGAAATACTTTCCTCTTCACAGAGAGGATGAATGTGTGTAAGGCCCTTGGTACGATGGGGTGGGAGCTCTGCAAACAACCAGAACAAAGTCTGAGACTGATACAATTTCCCTGCAATCTGAAAGTCAGCTCTGAGGTCTACAATGAAAGGACATCTAGGAAATTAGGTGATGTGGGACAACTTCAGAATTTCACAGGGAATATGAAGGAACTTTTTTAGTGAAACATGTAAAATTGCCTTTTGCTGAAGTTAATGATCATACAAAGAAAAGTTATGCAGCAACAGCTTACTTGTCTTTTCCAGAGTTCGAAAAAGGTTGCTAATATGAACTGTGTGTCTGTGGCTTTGTTCTTCTTCACTGATTCCTTCCTGTGAATAACACATGGTCAGAGACTTATCCAGGGGTT